AAGTGAGTTGAGATAAATATCGTATCAGTTGTAACTATACACTTCATAAGGTTATGAACAAATACCGAAAGTGAGTTGAGATAAATATCGTATCAGTTGTAACTATACACTTCATAAGGTTATGAACAATTACAGGAAGTAAGTTGAGATAAATATCGTATCAGTTGTAACTATACACTTCATAAGGTTATGAACAATTACAGGAAGTAAGTTGAGATAAATATCGTATCAGTTGTAACTATACACTTCATAAGGTTATGAACAATTACAGGATAAATATTGTATCAGTTGTAACTATGCACTTCATAAGGTTATGAACAATTACAGGAACTAAGTTGAGAAACTGCTTATCCGGGACTAGTACATCCTCTGTGACTGTGTTATTAACACATACAAGGGATCTGGTGCAAAACGTCATGTTTCTTCAGGACTAGTACATCCTGTATGACTGTTTTGTGTTGTCAACAGATAAGTGGGACCTAGTGTGAAACGTCATGACTGTTTCTTCAAGACTGGTATATCCTGTATGACTGTTTCGTGTTGTCAACAGATACAAGGGATTTTTTACAAAGATTTTCAACAATTAGAGAAATCTATAATAATAATAATTTATAATACTGCATTGTTTATCTAGTCCTTTAGGGATTTTCAAGAATTATAGAAATGTATCATTAAGTACGGTAGTGTTTAATGTTAGTGATCGTGATGAAACAAAAATCGCCCGTTTAAAAACACCTTTAAAATATTTAAATATTAACAATGACTATTTCACAGTATTGGCTGACAACTGCATATCTCAGGTGATAGTCAGAGGAAAAGCAAGAATTCATGGTATAATTTACTACGTACAAAACGAAATAACTATGAAAATTACTGTATTTTAACGTTGAATTATAAAATTATTTTACTATTTGCGTTTTCGAATAGATTATTCCTTTAAATTATTTTCAGAGGCTGTAAATCCGAACAATCTTTTGAACACTTGTTGTCACGGTGCATTATGTGATGATGGTTATGTGTTGGACCTGGAAAACTCCATCTGTTCGTGCAGACGTTTATGTCCGAGCACAAAATGCAGTAAGTTTCAATTTTATGAGCAGTTAGCTATATTTACGTAGATGAAGTCCAACAAAAAATATCCATTTTTTAAGAAAACAAACTCAAAATTAATTATAATTTTTTTATCTTGTATTCTGGCTCTAAAAGATGAATGATTCTGGAGGACCTTACGCTAAAGATATTTTTCTTCATATATTACTTAAATCAGAATCTCTCGTTGCTTTGTGTAGTAAAAGCATCCGATTAACTTTACTTGAAGTTTAATTGTTTAAATTAAACAATTACAAAATGTTCTCCGTTGCGACTATAGTAAGACAACGAAATTAAACAACTAAACAATATTCTCAGTTGTGACTGTAGTAAATCACCTGTAATGAGAAATTAAACAACTAAACAATGTTCTCAGTTGTGACTGTAGTAAGTCATGTGTACTGAGAAATTAAACAACTAGACAATGTTCTCAGTTGTGACTGTAGTAAATCACCTGTAATGAGAAATTAAACAACTAAACAATGTTCTCAGTTGTGACTGCAGTAAGTCGTGTACTGAGAAATTAAACAACTAGACAATGTTCTCAGTTGTGACTGCAGTAAGTCATGTGTACTGAGAAATTAAACAACTAAACAATGTTCTCAGTTGTGACTGTAGTAAGTTGTGTACTGAGAAATTAAACAACTAGACAATGTTCTCAGTTGTGACTGTAGTAAGTCACCTGTAATGAGAAATTAAACAACTAAACAATGTTCTCAGTTGTGACTGCAGTAAGTCGTGTAATGAGAAATTAAACAACTAGACAATGTTCTCAGTTGTGACTATAGTAAGTCACGTGTAATGAGAAATTAAACAACTAGACAATGTTCTCAGTTGTGACTGTAGTAAGTCACGTGTAATGAGAAATTAAACAACTAGACAATGTTCTCAGTTGTAACTATAGTAAGTCGTGTACTGAGAAATTAAACAACTAGACAATGTTCTCAGTTGTGACTGTAGTAAGTCACGTGTAATGAGAAATTAAACA